ATGAGATGGAAACTTGCAAGTTGTGCTGTAGAAAATGGACCGAGGGTTTCAAAGTTGGAGGGGGGGGGGATTCCCTCTGGCCTCCCGTAGCGCTGTCATTGGTTCTCTTGCTTTAGTATGAAAATAGTACACCGAGTAGTAGTAACAAGAACAAAATCAACGAAAGAGCTTAGTTGTAGCGTTTGAAGTGGTCAAAACTGGGATTTTGATATTTAGTATGTTTTAGCTGTATACACAAGTTGAAGCCGATTTTTGATGATTATTTTGAGTTGCATTTAGCTAAATACAACTTCTCGTTGCAGTTATTTTGCGCCCATATTTTTGGGTTACTGCGTTGGTCTTGGTAAAATTATTTTATGAAATTGATTATTGTACATTGCTCTCATTCTATTATAAGTTGACCAGAGCGAAGAAACAAATTAACGTCGAACAGTTAATCGTAGATCACCCGCTAGGAGTAGCTAATACGGTGTCTCGAAGTTGCATGTTTTTGTTAAGAATATAAATTGGACTGATCTTTCACGGCGTGTGTATGTGATGACAAATTTTCTTAAGCCACATGAGGCTGGTTTTAGGACTTTCTAGGTCCAGTTTAAATATACAAATTAGCAGCTAAAGGGACATCATTTTGCTTATGGAAACTTAAGATACATTAAAAATGCTCTATACAAGTTTTAGTTTCAGTTTGTTTACGACTTCTTTTCGTAAGTGTGGCAAAGTTTTTAGGACGACTTACGTTTGATCGTAATATAGCAGTTTAGGGGTAACGTTTTTTGTTATTGGAAAAATGTAAAGGTGTTTAAAATAAAATAAATTTGTAGCTTTTCAGTGGTGTTGTGAATAATTTATATTATTATAGTTGCAATATTCAACTTCAGACATCTAAATTACTTGCAAAACAGTGACGTTTGCACAGAAGAATATCCAGAATTTCTGCTATAGAAGAGTCCATGAAGCAAGTCTAGTGTCCAGAAATGCTCCCCCGCCTTCAAGAAACTTTCACAAAAGACAAAATGGTGACATTTCATGTATTTTTGTCGTTTTTTTGCAATGTTTTTTTTTTTTTTAGCTTCGGTTAAACCTTTTTGGTGTATCTAGAAAGGACCATTCGCCCCCTTGCTACGTTGCTCTAAGAAATGCTTACTTTGAAATAACAAAAACTCAAAACATAATGATAAACATGTGCAAGAGCTACTGATCCGTTTCACAAGATAATTAATAGTTGATTTGAGATTAAGTTGTTACTTTTCATATTTTGAACTGTGAAACATTGTTTCAACATACTAACATAACTTATGGTAACAGTAAGTGTATTTAAAAATATTACAAGTAAATTATTAGTATAGTGCAAACTTGTGTTAATTCCAGTTTTAACAAGCAGCGAACGGAATGAAAAAAATGTTGATATTTGTACGTGTGAATTTTATCTCTAAGACGAACTTAAGACCTCTTGAAATTATTTAAGAACAAAGGTTATCTTAAAGAGACAACAGTGTATCGTAATAAGCAACGTTCTATGGACAATTTACTCACACCACGGTATACAGTATTGAAAGGTTCTGCCATACAATATACTATTACGATAATGAAATCTTAAGCCTACATACATCTCGCAAATGATAGGTACAGTACAAAAGTACCGTATTTTTCGGAATATAAGACGCACCCTTATTTTGAAGA